GGAACGTGATGGGATGCACTGTAATGAGATGTAACCCAATTTGGTGTTTTTTTTTCTCTTTAACAAAGGCTTTGCTCTCTTGGATTAGATACAGCACATCTGCTTTGCCATTGAATTTAAAATAACTGCAAAGCAGGAAGAGACTGTGTCAAGTATGAGGAATGGACAATTTTTATTTAATATTAAACCATTTACAACAATAATATTTTTAGAATATCAGATCTTAACTGCTGAGAGCACAATACAATTCCTGGATTTCTTGTTGTGCTCTTTCTGATATTTCTCAGGAAAGTGCAAAGGCATAAAAAGGAAGTCAAAGGCTCGTTATAATTATAACTGCAGGGATATGCAAATGTGGCAGGCAAAGGGTCAATGCTATTAGGGTTCATCTACACCTCAGTGATGTTTCAGAATAACTGATGTTATTCTGAAATAAAGAGCATGTCTATGCTACAAGCCTTTATTTTGAAATAATGTTGTCAGTCCCCGTAATACACGAGGTTCGAAGGGATGCCGGAAAGGATGAGACCTCAACTGGGGGTTTTAAAAAGCAGAAACTGATTTTATTTTGATGACGCCAGACAATCATCAGAACAAAAATTAAACAGATTGCCAGACAACACAAAACAATTCCCTGAGGCTTTTTCTAAATCACAATAATTCCCAATAACTGCCCAGGGGTTAGGAACATAGGGCTGATTATTTACACAACTTTTATACAAGGAAACAGTAAAAAACCTAAACCACAACTATTTATAAACTAACTTAGTAACTTTTTAGCCACTGTCACTTGCCAAGAAATAAGGACAACTAAAACATCAATTAGGATAGGGATGATGGCGGGGGGGGGGTGGGGGGGGGGTTTATGCCAGTTAGGGGGGGGTGTTATACCAGTTCTGGAGACAGCAGGAACACAAGTACCGGTCACACGCTCATAAACTGTCTCCACTCGGGTCGACCAACTCGGAGTACGCTCAGTAAGACTCAAGAGCGGGGGGTGCAAGGCGTCTGGGTGATCAGGCCAGGCGTTCACTCAATGCGAATCCCCAGTGAGAGAGGGGCTGCCTGCCTGTTTTATTGGGGTGTTATACCAGTTCTGGAGACAGCAGGAACACAAGTACCGGTCACACGCTCATAAACTGTCTCCACTCGGGTCGACCAACTCGGAGTACGCTCAGTAAGACTCAAGAGCGGGGGGTGCAAGGCGTCTGGGTGATCAGGCCAGGCGTTCACTCAATGCGAATCCCCAGTGAGAGAGGGGCTGCCTGCCTGTTTTATTGCCTGTGAACTTATCACCCCATAGGTTGGTTTTTGCTGCAGTGGGTGGAGTAGCAGGCCTGAGCACAAGTCAGCCCATTGGCTGATCTTTCACTGCAATGGGTGGAGCGAGCAGGGGAAGATTATTAATTTACATGCCCTTATATGGAAAACACTCCACCTCACAGACAGAGCCCCCTATACCAGCCTTAGAGGTATTACAGGCTATGGCTCCCTGCGACAGGCAGCCATTGTTGTAGTTCTGACTCGAACAAATGTCAAGCTGGAGGACTTCTTACTCCAACTTCTGTAACCCTCATTTCACGAGGATTAAGGGAAGTTGAAGGAAGAGTGTTCTTCCTTTGACTTCCTGCTGGTTGGATAGCGCCAAAAGCTGAATTAAGCTATTTCGACTTCACCTATACAGTTGACATAACTGAAGTTCAGTAGCTTGTACCCTTAGGCTACATCTAGACTACAGGCTTCTTTCGTAAGAAGCTTTTTTTTGAAAGATCTTCTGAAAGAATTTCTTCAGAAAGAGAGCATCCACACTGCAAAAGGCATTGAAAAAGTTATCTGCTTTTTCGAAAGAGCGTCCAGACTGAATGAATGCTCTCTTGCATGTAAACTGTGATTGCTATGGATAGAATGGCCACCAGGGCACCTGTGCTTTTTCCTCTTCTTTCGAAAACACCCTCTTCCCCGTGCACACAAGCCTTTTGCGAAAGAACTCTTTTGGAAAAAGGCTTCTTCTGTGTAAAATGGGGATTGCCAATGCCAGAAAAATTCCTCTGTTCTTTCGATTTTTCTTGTGGAAGAACGCAATTGTAATGTCGATGTTCCTCAAGCTTTGCCAGAAAAGTGACATTTTTTCTGACAAAACTCTGTAGTGTAGACATACCCTTAGAGACAGGCATTTCTTGCAGTTTCTCTGACCTCAATAGAGTTAAGACCAGATTTCCCTGTAGTCTCTAGTCTCTGCAGAATTAAAGATCCATGTTCTATGCTCATCCTCTAAAGAGAAGAATCTGATGAGCTTTCTAGATACTGAAGTTCTTTGTGTGTTCAGACTACTTTTTTCCACTTTTGCTAATTTTTTTTATAGAAGGGTGTAGGGGGCCCATCTCCCCTGACAGTCGGAGGAGGGGTCCCCAAAAACAGGATTGATGCCCAGTTTTAAAAGGGGTGTGTGGTCCCCAAAATACAATTCCCTTCTTTTACAGTAAATACGGCCCTATGGGCCTGGTCTGAAAGTCCTGTTTCCTCTTTAGGGTAAATATGGCCCAAGATGCCTAGCAAAAATACTGTCTCCTCTCTCAGGGGGAATGCAGCCCGGTAGGCCTAGTCCCAAAAGCACTGTTCCCTCTGTTAGGATATATGGCCCTGCAGGCTTAGTCAAAAAGTGCTGTGGTCTCCTTCTGCAAGACTCTCTGGCCTCAAGACCTATGCCCCTTGTGAGTTTCCCTTGGCTGTCAGGGAGACAAGTGTCGCGGGGCAGGGAGGTAGGAGGACCTGTGCCCTCCTGCTCCACCAGGTCTTGACGCAAGGCCCTGTTGCCAGCGGGGCATCCCACTGAAATGCACTGAGCTCCAGGAGGGACAAACCTCACCCTGGGCCACTTCCTACTGTCCCTGGTGGAGCATTGCTCAATGAATCCAGCTCACGGAAAAGGTTTCCCTGGTTGGGGCTGGTGCTGAGGCTGCTGGGCTGCGGCTCTGGGGGCTGCTGCAGCTGCGGTGGCTGCTCTGGTGGCAGGGACTGCTCGGGAGCTCTGGCTTGAGCTCCTTCCCTGCTGGCAGTCAGCCCAGACAGGGCTGCTCCACTGGCTTTTATACAGCTCCAGCAGTTGGAGCATGCCCAGTCTGGGAAGAAGGGTGGGACTGCCTCTGCCACAGAGTCTTAGGCTCATCGCAAAGGGGAAAAGGTAGAAATCTGTAGCTAAGTGAATGCCGAAGATGAAAGATAATGGTAAAGCAGGAAAGGAATTAGAATGTACATAAGCTTAACAGAATGAAATTAAGCAAATGATTTTGCGATAGGAGTAGGTGATGGTGTAGCCTTCCAAGGAATGTTAGGCCAAATCCATTGAAAAGTAGACTAAACAAAGCTCAAGAAAATGGACTAGATGGAATAAATCTTGGCAAAGCAGGCAATAGGTTAGGTGACCAGTGCTCTTCCTCTGTGTCTGTTGTTACCAAGGCTGAGAGAATCTCTCTGTGTCAAATCCCCACTAGCTGCCTCATGCTTCTGTTTGGGTTTAGCGTGGGTCGCGTGCATAATTAGTGGGGAAATCCATTCTGGCAGCCTGGGAGCAAGTTGAAGAGATGGTTTATGATTTGTGGTAATTGCTACTACATCCTGGATTACATTCTAATGCGACTCTCTCTCCCTTTTCATTGTATAGGAAGTCAGGGCCCACTACTTAGCTTTGTGGATCACAAGGTTATTTCTGTGACTTTCTAGGGACCTAAAAGTGAGGCACTGTACACTCAGTCTTGTAATGTGTAAGTCCCTTGTGAATCCCTCCCTTAGTCCCTTTGTACCTCAATTCCCCCAGCTGTTAAATGGGATAACAGTACTTCCCTACTTCATAGGGACCTAGTGTGCTCCTATACCAGGATGATGGGGACTCTTCCATACATGGTAATAAAGGCTGACAGTATGTTTCCTTCTTCAGCTAACAATTAATCTGATCACTAAGACAACACTACAAGAGATACAACTGCAGAAAAGTTCACCCAGCACTAGGGATGTAAGGGAGTAGTTGACTACCCAATAAACCTATGCTTATCAGGTAGTTGAGGCAACTACTTGCTTCCCCCCTCTCCTTTCTGCCTCTGTGTCAGAGGCAGCAAGGAGGCAGAAGCTGGTGCTGGGGGGGAGCTGACTTAAAATCTCATACATCCTCCCCTCTCCCCCCCAGCACCGTCTTCACAATGAGGAGCTCTTAATACGTTTAAACTAAAGCGCCACAGGGGCATTAGCTCCCGGGGCCTGAACTAACCAGCCCCAGCTCACGCTGGCTTTGGGACCACTGCGACTCTGCATTTTAAATGTAGTTTAATGTCATTTTAAATGTAGCATTTAAACTTCAGAGCCGCAGCGGAAGTAGCAAGTGCCCTTCCCCCACCCCCCATCGACTATTTGAGTAGTCAATGGAAATCCTTTGGCTACTTGATTAGCTAATTAATCGAAAGTTAACATCCCTACCTGGCACTTGAAGACTTATAATCAAAACACAGATGGGAGTTTAGTCAGTCTCTATACCATTTAATCCCTAACCTCTCCGCTGCAGCTGTCAGCTAGTGCTAATTGTGGTTGTGTTTTCTGACAGGAACTCTTATCTAGGATATGCGGAGACCACCATGCAGTCTACAGATGGTTTTAAAAAAAAAAGGTTGCTGTACAGCCAGGCTAGATTTGAGCCAGCAGAAGAGATTCATATTCACTTTTCTCAGTGTTGGTGGCATATTCCAAAAAGGCAAACAGGTTACATTTTTAGCAACCAAGGACACATTCGTTCTCTCTCTCTCACACATATACATACACACCCCATTATGTGTGTGCAGAGAGAGAGAGCATATCTAAAGCAGATTCACAGCAATATCGAGGAGGGATTTCAGCATCAATCTGCCACCTGGAAGATAATCTGTCAGCCTGCATTCATGTTTGTGATCATCACCAGCTATTTGCGATTGATCTGATGGGACATCTTTTTTTCTCTCTCCTTTTTATTTCTGTAGAATAAAGTCATGGGTGGATAAAATGCAAGAGGATCTTGTAACGTTGGCAAGAACTGCAAGTGGGGTGGACCAGCTTGCCAAGGTGAGTCTGAACGGGCGGAGCCTCTATTTTTGACAGTAGAACCGTCAAAAGTGGATGGGGTTTGTCATTTAGGGGAAACAATTAATTCATGCCATCCTCATGATTATGTTTGGAATTCAAGCCTATCGTATATCTTTTCTCTACTGACTAATACAAATATAGAGTATCATGAGCTTTTGTGGGTAAAACCCATTATCTGAAGTTCTTGAGACTGTATATTTTTGTTATTCTCTAAGATGCCGTAAGACTATTTGTTCTTTCCTAAAGTTACAGACTAATACAGCTACCCCTCTGAGACTTTTTTTCTACTGTTTACTTAGAAGAAAATGAATAATGGAGACATCCATTAATTCATCCTCTTTATACTGAAGCTAATCTTTAATCAGCTCTGCACTGCCAGGCATAAGGTTTATGATTGTTATAACATCCACACACAATAGCACAGCTCTTTTTACACTGTATATTTGTCTAACACGGTATCCAGGAAGCAACTATTCAAGGACAGTTCATGGAAAGCTCTGCTCCATATTGAGAGAGAAGATCAGTTTTCTGACACATAAATTCTCTGAATGGAAGAAGTCTTTGTTGGTTCGATTTCTATGGAGGAGAATAACTATCTAATTTTAGTTACCCTTGCTACTTTGCTAGAGAATATTTTACTGAAGGAACAAATTATTACTTGTTTATGGAGAATAGATATCCATACTGTTATCTCACACAGAAAAGTAAGTTAAAAGAACATTATTAAGGTTGCAAAGTTAAGCACTCAAAAGTTAGGAAATACCAGAATTAAGATTTCCTGTGCAGCATTAATTCAGTCCCCTTGTATGTATATACATAGTCTTTAATTTCATGTCACACAATTTTTTTTCCATAGGAATTTTTTTTTCCATAGGACCTGCTCTGAATATGAGTGAGGGTTTTGCAGTGAAGGGGACTGTTGTTTAAAGGTCCTTACCTCATTTAATGCAGAATTTGGAAGGTGTATTGTAGGGATGTGAGCAACTAATTGACTAGTCGACTAGTTGCTTCCTCTCCCCCCTCTCCCCTTGCTGCCTCTATCACAAAGAGGCAGCAAGGGGGGAAGAGGAGCAAGTCCTGGAGGGAGCCATCTTAAAAGCTTGATTTTTCCCCCCCAGCTCCATGGGAGGGGGCAGGGGCGCAGCGACGGCCAACCTTGAAATGTACAAGTGGCCCTGCTGGGGACTCTTGTACGTTTCAAAGGGGAAGCACCCGCCTGGAGTGGGGTCAGTGGGACTTCATGTTGGTCCCTGGCTCCATGCGGTATTCCAACTTTGAAATGTAGAAGAGTCCCCAGTGGGGGCTCTTGTGCAATTCAAAGAGGAAGCACAGCATTGAGCCAGGGGCCAGTGCAGGACTCAGAGTCCCCACTCAGTGGGGGCTCTTGTGCATTTCCAAGCAGAAGCACTCGCGTGGAGCCCGGGATCAGCGGGACTCCCTACTGGCCCCAGCCTCCAGGCTGTGTTCCAACTTTGAAATGCAGAAGAGCCCCCTCTGGAGCTCTTGTACATTTTGAAGGCGGAAGTTCTTTTCGACTAATCAAATAGTCAATGGAAATCCCATTGACTTTGATTAGTTAACTAATTGAAATTTAGCATCCCTAATGTATAGTGTAAGAGGAAGGAGAATGAGGGAGAGAAAGGAGGGTCTCATGGTTAAGGCAGTTGAATGCTATCCTGGAGAATTGGATTCTGTCCCTGTCTTAGCCAAAGAATTCTTACGTGATACTGTGCAAGTCACTTATTCCAAATTTATCACACTTGTGTGTTCTGTATTTTCTTGGTGGCTAAATTGAGTCTCTGAAATCTAATTTGCAGGAGTGCTGAGCATTCTCAGCTACAATTGAAGTCAATGGGACCTGTTCTTTGATGGTATAAAATACTGTATAATGGTAAGAGCTAGGGATGTTAAATATTGGTAAATTGAATAGTCAATTAACCTCATGAATTGTTATCGGTTAATCGACTATTCTATAATCCCCAGGGGTGGGGCCAGCAGTAGCGCGGGGTGCCAGGTGGGAGCTGGTCTGTGAGGGGAGCCAATTTAAAAACCAGCTGCTCTTGCGGATCAGCTGCTTGTCGCCCTGGGATGCTGCTTTTGATAAAGAGGGAGCAGTGCGGGGTGGTAGCAGCCCCTTTCTGGGGGCAGAGGGTCTGAGTTCCCAGAGCCAGCATGAACTGGAACTGAGCCAGGCCGTCTGCCCGCCCGGCTCCTAATACACTCTAAGTGCAGAGCCTCAGCGGGGGTAGGTCTTGGACCTGGCGTGAGCCAGAGCTGAGCAGGGCTGCTGAGCAGCCTGCAAAAAAAAAAAAAGTTACTGGTTGGGTGTGGGGGGAGAAATGTGTGTAGTCTATAGCGTTAACCTATAAGCTTTTACTTATCAGTTAATCGATTTCACTATTACATCCCTAGTAAGAACTCTGAAAAGGTCTGAGGCCTCTCAAATTAGGAACCTAACATTAGTAAACGCTTTTGACCTTCATCTTCCTGTTCCTCATTGCCCCATGTTTCAAGTTGGGATAATACCTGCAACTCATCTCTTGTGGAAATGAATTCATTAATATTTGTGAAGCTCTCATATGCTATAGTGATAAGCTCTATGCTTAACCTAAAAGCTCAGCAGTTTTGTCGACGCTGGTAAACCTCATTTTACAAGGCATAACACCTTCTGTCGACAGAGTTCTGTCGACAGAAGGTGTTATTGCCTGTAGGGTTGCGTCTAGACTACAGAGTTCTGTCGACAAAGCAGCTTGCTTTGTCGACAGAACTGAATGTGTCTAGACGCTCTATGTCGACAAAACCCTGTAGTCTAGATGTACCTAAAGTGACCACTGTCCATTCTAAGTACTGAATGAAGCAAGGGTCCTATGGAAAAACACGTGAGAGTTAGATATTACATCCTAATACCCCCTGGCAGCTGAATTAAGGTTGTACAGACATCTGTATTCCTAATTTTTTAGTCCTTGACTTTGCAGCCTTAATATTATTCTTTTAATTTTGTTCTATGTGTTATGGGTAATTCCCTAGATTTTTTTTTTTAAATGACACTGGAAAAAAAATCCACCCTGAAATATCATCTTGAGAAATCATATTGACATTCACATGGTTCATCAGCAAGAAAGGAACCTTTAGACCCACTGAATACACCTCCGACACTTGAGCTAATGCAGTAACTGATAGCAACAGTGAATCATCTCCTGTGTGGACTAGCTCCAAAGGGGTAATTTCAGAGAGATTCACATCAGAAGAGGGAGAGACTCAAACTCTATATTCAGTTCCAGGCTAGGGAGTGTGCTCTAGCAGGTGCAAATTGTTCTGTGCATGTGCCCCAAATGTGACATATTCTGTCCCATCCCTTCAGACTGTCTCTTATCCACCCCAGACTCCATTTCCCAGTTCCATAATTCTCACTTTCTCATCCCAGTCTTTAGGCTGCTCATCCCAATCCTGGTTTACTTGCTTAGACAGTCAAAGTCTTACCCTTATTGACTTTTGATCCCCTTGTTAGTTGGTTCCCAACTTCCAGTTTTCTTGTGTAGTCACTCCTAGATCATCCCTCCTCAAAACCCCTGTCTCCTTAAGCAGCCAGTCCAAGTTGTCCTCCTCTGGCTTCTTCTAATCTTTCTCCCTCCCTTCCAGTCACTTCCCTCTTTGCTTCCAATCTTCCTTTTGGGCTTTTTGTCTAATCTCAATGACCCCTCCCACTTCTCTCCATGCATGCATACTCCCAGCCAGATCTCTCTCTCTCTCCCTCTCTCCCTCCCTCCCTCCTAGTCTCCATATCCTGCACTCAGACAGTCTGAGTCTGGTGCTTGACTGCTCATCTGATTTCAGTCTCCCACATTTCCCACCTTTCACTGTTTCCTTTCTCAACCAGCTCCAGTCTCTCCTCTCCCTTAATTCACACTCCTAGTTCCACACCCACTAGGTAATTTTCCCAGTGCATGCCTTTCCCTCCTCTTTAGTTTGCCTTTTGTCACCTCTGTATGAGACTCAGATGGATTCCTTCACCATGAACCCTGAGTCTAGTGGCAGATGCCTGGACTAAGAATAGCCCACAGCAGCTCAGAAGTGCAGTTTTCAGACAAAACTCTGTTCAACTGCCGACTTGAACATGCCCAGTGCACCAAAAATCTTTGAGGAAACTGCTGAAATCTAAGAACCCTCTGCTGAGCGTATGTGTTCTTCAGCTTTTCAAGGATCAGAATTTGGACAAGTTAGGATGGGGTTTCCATGGGAGAACCAAAGGCACATCTGTGAAACAAAAGTTGCCCCCTGCAAAACATCAGGTTCTACTGCCACTGTGCTTTGGTGCATAAGCATTTCAAAGAAAAGGTGTCTAGAATATTTTAACATAAGGAAACATATTTATCCATATTTTTTTCTTGGAAATCGCTGAAGCATTATGGCAAAAATTTTAAAAAGAACAATAATCAGCCTGAAGCAGACACCAGGAATGGAAAATTTCAGCCCAAAGCATATAATGTGGCCAGACTTGAACCAAGTGAAAACAGGTTCTTATAATGGGAATGTTCGTGTATATTATTAAGATCACCTATCAGCCCAGCCTAAAATATACTATAGTTCATGAAAATTGAAGGAAATATTAATCTCTGAACATAGTATATAATCCTTTTAGATAGCCAAGATATATAGTACACTTAATACATGTTAAATTTCTGTTTCAGTAGGTATGTCTATAGGTTTCTATGAGTGTGTGTGATTCTAGAATAAGAAGCATTAATGCAGTATGTGTCCCTGTAAACTACCACTTCATATTAATATCATTTATGACAGATCTATACAGCAGTATGGTTTTAGTCTATATCCAGAGGCTTTAATTGCCCTTCTTTGTAAGTGTGAATGTAAAACCCAGTGAGGTGTGACCTAAGCAATCTCTCTTTTCTCTTGTATACAAGTATCATTGTCACTTTCAGATTTTTAAAATGACACACTATTTCACTGCTATACTTACATTA